TGTGGTATTTTTTGCAATGGATTATCGCCGTGGACGACAGGACGTCCATGTCGAGAGGAAAAAATAAGAAAAATGTTGATTTTGTATTGTATTTTTTACAGGTTAGGATGGGACCACCCGGATGCGGCCCCTATCGGCCGGCCTGAGGGGGAGTAGGAGTATATTCTAATAAGGAATAAGGATAGGAGTCAAGCTAACCAGCTCGAGCGAGTCAAGCATGGCATGCCCAGTCCCACCCGCCCTCCCACAACATAAGAAGCAAAGCTGGCACAACTGGGGGCCGAAGTCACACCGGCCAGCCGGTTTGGTAATTACAGCTGATGCGGCCGCGATGGCGGTTGCCGACGGGAACTGGCGAGCGCGTGTTGAATGCCGCGCACGCATTGCCAGACGAGTCGAGAATGGCCCGGTACACCGCAGGAAGCCTGAAGGCCCCAACTTGTACTGTTTTTTTTATAAAGGGGGGGTTTGGATGGGCTGGCGCGGGGTGTGCGCCGCATCCCATTCCTGCCAAGCATTTTGCGACGTGGACGACAGGACGTCCATGCTGAGAGGAAAAACGTTGGTGCGCGGCGCCGGGGCGAGAGCGACATGTCACCCCTTCGCGCGGGGTGTGCGCCGCGTCCCCTTCCTGCCACGCATTTTGCGACGTGACGACAGCACGACCATGTTGACAAGAAAAACAAAAACTGTGTATTGTCTTTTTGCAGATTAGAATGGGACGGATTGGATGGGCGGGCGCGGGGTGTGCGCCGCGTCCAATTCCTGCTATGCATTTTGCGACGTGGACGACAGGACGTCCATGCGACGGTGCCAATGACGGCGACGACTCTAGAAGGATTTGAGCATGCGCTCGCGGCGACGCGCGCGCATGTCGCCCGCGTGGTATTTTTTGCACAGGATTCGCGGCCTGGTGCATGACAGAGCATCGCGAGTGCACCGCGCGATGACGTGAAATCGCTGGATTTGACCGAATTCTTAAGATTCCTATGGTTTTCCTATGATTTCAGCAAGAGAGCCCGGGCAGGAAATTTGTAGAATTTTTGTGAAAAAAAGCATTGGGTTTTTGATGTTTTTATGTTGAAATGCTTGCAAACACACGGTGTTCGGTAGGATTCTGAAATGAACGCGCGCGTGTGCTCTTTGTGGTATTTTTTGCCATGGATTATCGCCGTGGACGACAGGACGTCCATGTCGAGAGGAAAAAATAAGAAACATGTTGATTTTATATTGTTTTTTACAGGTTAGGATGGGACCCCCCGGATGCGGCCCCTAATGGCCGGCCTGAGGGGGGATTAGGAGTATATTCTAATAAGAAAAATAAGATTGGGAGTAGCCATAGGAGAGGAGAGGAGGGGAGGAGGAGGGAGGAAGGAGGAAGGGAAGGGGGGGGGGGGGAGGAGGAGGACGGGAGGAGGAGGAGGAGGAGGAGGAGGAGGAGGAGGAGGGAGGAGGAGGAGGAGGAGAGAGGAGGAGGAGGATGAGTGGGGCGGAGAGGAGAGGGTTCCAAGGGTCCGATATCCTAAAGATAAGCGGGGGCTCTTGGAGGTCCTATGTGGTTTGAGAGGGCTACAGGACAATGAGGAAGAACAGGCGGAGTGTCGCTTCCAGGAGGATGAGGATAAGGAGGATGGGGAGGAAAAGGAGGATGAGGAGGAAACGGAGGAGGAACATGTGGAGGAGGAGGAGCTGGAGAAGGAGGAGGAGTTAGCAGGGGTGGATGGGAAGGCGGGATGAGGTAGGATGAGGAGATGCTGGCGAGGAGAAGATGGAAAACCCCGTCCCCCTTGTCCCTGTCCTCGTTCTCGTCATTTCTCCGCCCTCGTCGCCCTCCTCCTCCTCCTCCTCCTCTTTCTCCTCCTCCTCCTCCTATTCCTCCTCCTCCTCCTCCTCCTCCTCCTCCTCCTCCTCCTCCTCCTCCTCCTCCTCCCCCTCCCTTCCCCATCCTCCTGGGCTGCCGACGAGTAGCCCTCCATGATATGCAGCCTGGGCTGCCACTCCTTCCGCTTTTTGGACGCATGTGCCCGAGAGCTCCTTCTCCCCGCTGGGCCACTGCTGCGCCCTGACGAGTCCCCCTCCCCTCGACTCCTTCGTCACCCAGCTTATGAGAGATTTTCTGTGGCTTCGGCGGAGGAGGTCATGGAGACGGTGCAGAACCACGGCCGCTTCATCTCGCAGCCGGGGGCCGGCGCGTCACGGGCCGCGGTGCGGTCCTAGGCTTGGCGCGGGCCGCGCTCCTCCGAGGACGCTCGGAGGGTGCCTCGCCGGCGCCGCCATCGAGCTGCTGAGCTGGCGGGCCGCCGCGGGCCCGGATCCGCGGGGGATCCTGCCAGGCCGGCCCCCCGTCTGCCCGGGGCGGGCCCCTCCAAGCTGGGCGGCCAGGCCGCCCCCCACCTCCCCGGCCCGCGCCGCCCTCCCAGCCGGGCTGGGCTGGCGCGGCGGGCTCGCGGCGGCATCGTCGTCTCGGTGGGCATTGTCGCAGTGGCGCCCTTTCTGTTTCGCCCCCGTGCGGTGTTGCTGAGGACCGCCGCGGCTGCCGCCCAGCCCTCCGAGGAGGGCCCGTTCGCCTGTCGCTGCGGTCCTGGACTGCATCACCCCGCCGCGCTTCATGCTTCGTCACCAGCTCTGTCATCTTCCTGACCTTGATGGGGATTCGCGAGCCGCGTCCTGAGGGCTGATGCGGGCACCAGTTTTTCATTGTGCAGGCGTTGGCCAATTCCTTTGTGAGCTGTTTCGCATTATCCTCCTCTCCCCTCTTCCGCCTTGGGCTTCTCGTCCGCGCGTCGCTATCCCTGTGATGATGCCCCCGCCGATCGCCGTCTTGCATGGCATTGCGTAGCCCCTCCGGTTCTTGTCCACCCGTTCTCAATGCAGTGTCCTGATCTTAGCTTAGTTTGTCTCGCTGGGCGGCGTGCGCTCTGCTCCGTGCCATTTTGGCAAGGCGTCTTTCTGGTGGTGCTTCCAGTCCGCGCAGCGCGGTCGTGCCCTCAGGGCAGCGCGGGAGCCAGCGTTTCAGAGGAGGCTCGCGAAGCTTGGGGGGGAGAGACAAGTATTCGTGGGATGTATACAGCGGGAGCTCGCGTCAGATTTCAGAATCGGTCTCGTAATTTTCCTGGTGGCCCCGCCAGGCGAATCCGAGTCCCCCCATACCAACCCTTTTGTCTTCCGACAAGAGGCCGACGTGGAGCGGCATTGTGCGGGCATTTCGTCTTTTCGATGCTGCATTAGGCGCGGCGCGCAGCGAACGCGCCGCGAGTTTGCGTTCGACTCGCCGTCGCGCGATGCCCACGGGGACGACGCGAGGGGGGCTGGTGTTCGGGCCATAACTCGGGTTTCAGGCGGCCGTTCAGGACGGCCCCGCCGCCCCCGGAAAGCTGTCGGCGAGGCGAAGCTGCTAGAGAGCATGCCGAGGGTGGAATGCACCTTTGGAACATGCGAAACTGTCCAGAAGCCTTGAACCTTAAATCCCCACCGCAGGAGGCGTTCCACCCTGCCCTCGGGGGTTGCGCCCAGGCGGCGCCGTCGAACGCGCGGTGCGGACGGCCGCTGCCTGCTCGGAGGCCCCGCGTTCGCGCTGCGGCGCCGACGGGGCCGCCGCCGCGCTCGGCGCCCGGCCCGGCAGAGGACAGACCTCGACCCCCACCGCGCGCTCACGGGCATTGGGCAAGAACGATATTGTCAATGCGTTTCCTTCGACCTCGCGCGCTGAGCTCGCGGGGGCCCTCGTGCAGGTGGCGCGCGCTGACCTCGGAGCCCGATCCCGCGAAGCCCGGGGGTCTCGACCCACCAGTTGAGCTTGCCTGGGCCGCGGGTGCGATGGCGCGCGGGCCGACGGGCGAGATGCGCGACGTTTCGGCGCGAGGCTGCGCCGACGGCGTGCATCGGGCGGCCCCGCTCAGCGCTTCGAGCCCATTCGCGGCTCGGGGTCGACTTCTGGGCGCGAATCCGATCCTGGATTTGGAGCTCGCGGAGGGGGGGCTACACGCAAAACTCAGAGAGGGACGCGCGTGCCAGTGGTGCCAGGCACTGGGCCTACACTGCCACGCGCACTCTTCTGTCTAGGTCGACGCTTGTGCCCGGAGCGAGCGCTGCCGAGAGCCTGCTCCTCGGTAGCTCGGGGCACGTGGCGGGGGGCTGTTGGGCGTGAGTGCGACGACGAGTGCGGGCTGCGAGATCTGCGCGGCGTCGGATGGGGACGTCTTGGGAGATGGCGCGTTCGCTCCGACTGAAGCGGGTGGCTTTCGGGTGTCTGATTTTGCATGCGAATCGCTCGGGCCTGGAGCCCCACCTGCCAGGCGAACGAGAACTTCGACGGCTGGATGCCGTCATCAATGGCTTTGCAAGCGCGGTGCTCCGCGATCGCAGGCCTGTTTTCGCAGATGATGCACCGCTTGGGGCGGCGCCCTAGGCATCGCTCACTGCCCGAGGCCGCTGCGCTGAAAAAGTTGCGAACGACCAGCTCCAGGGCTGAACTACTTGTCCGCGGGCTTCGCCAGTGGCGGCGCTATGCCGCCTGCCCCGGCGACGGCCGACAGCCCCTGACCGCGCTCCTCGGGGCCCTCGACGGCCGCGAGGAGGCCCCGACTTTCCGCGGCGACGGTCCGGCGAGCGCGATGGCCAACCCTTGGGCCAAACAGGTGCAGAAGGACCTCCAGGCTCTCGGCCACCTCGAGGGGGGCCGCGAGTCCTCGCGGGCGCACACGGCTCGGGGGATCTGTGGGGACGACGCTGTTTCCGGGGGGTTCGTGAGGTTCAGTCCCGATTTGCCCCGCAAGGTCTGCGCTCTGCGAGGGCCCCCGGGAGGCTCTTCTCTTCTCGGGAGGGGAAAAGGAAGGGAAAACACACAGACACAATTAATCGTCGATTCCCAAGAAAATATAGGAAAATATGGGAATTGGGGGGAAGGCAAAATCCCAGAAAAGATGGGGAAATATGGGGAATCATTTTATTTGTGTGTATTTATTTGTGTGTCCCAGGGCCTCTTCATCTTCGCCCGCCAGATGAAGGATCCAACGGGGCTCATGCATGCGAGCTCCCAGGAGATGGCCCCGACGGCCTGGGCGGTCAGGTATTCTACGCTGCTGGCGCTCTGCGGGCTCATCCATGTCACCATCCCTCCCGCGAGCTACGAGTGCCGGCGCAACTCGGCGGTCGCCGTTCAGCGCCTGCACTGCGCGTCGTTGTGCAAGAGTGTGGCGGCGGCAGAAAGGCACGCGCCGCAATCGCCGCGGAGTGGCAGGCGTCTTTGCGATTGGAGCCCGCGCGCGTCAGAGCCCGCCTCTCCTCGGACCAGCGCCGCCCCTTCTGCCTCGATATTGAGACCGCGCCCGAGTGCTTCGCCGATCGCGCGCCGCCTGGCTCAAGGTGCGCCTCGCCGTTCGAGTCTTTGGCGGAGCTCCAGAGACACCTCGGAGACGTTCGCGCCCCCCCCGCCCCCGACTAGGTCTACTGCGAGAAGCCGCCTGATGGATCTGGCCCAGCGCGCCCTCGACGCAGGGGCCGGCGGGCGAGCCTGGGCGCCGCGCTCGAGGGGCGGAGAGCGCGGGGCCTCGCGGCGAGGGCGCCCGAGGGCCGTCGGCCCGCCTCAGCCCTCGGCAGGGGGGGGGGCGAGGCAGTGGGCCCAGCGTCCGCGGCTGCCGCCTCGGCTCGAGGCGGCCAGGCGCTGTGGCAGCCGCAGCAGCAGCAGGGCCCAGAGGAAACGTCGGCTGGGCTCTCTCGAGGGTCTTCGACGGCGCCGATAACGCCTGCGACCTACCGAGGACCGGCTTCATGAGGCTGCAGGCCGCGCCGATGCCGACAGAGTTGATCTAGGCGCTCTTTGCCGCAATCATGCGTGCATCCCTTTCCAACGCGCTGGGGATTGCAGCCCTTGGGTCGACGATTTTTTCGATTGCGCACCTGAAGGCGGACCGTGAAGCATGCCAAGTCACGCAGCTGACAGGCCGTTACCTTGTACAGGAGGCGCAGACATTGCGCCGAGAGAACAGACGAGCTCCACGAGACGGATTGCGAATCGAGGACCTCGAGAAGCTTGGAGTGCCACATCCGCACCTGCGGCTTGCGATCGCCGGGGCCTTGTAGCAGCAGGGCGACAAGGTAGGGGCGCAGACGGCTGCCTCCATCAAGGGATGCTTGGATCGAGCCCGAGGCGATTCGGATATGACCAACGATGCTCTTCGCGAGCCGGGTGAAGTACTGTCGCGCGAGCTACACCCACGATCGTGCCACGATGAAGGTCTTCCTGGAAGCCAGCGGCACGGGTGCCCAGACGGCGGCGCTCGCGGCCTTTGTCCAATTAGGCGCGAGAGTCAAGAAAGGCATCCCGCCCCAGTCGCACCAGGAGCGAATGTTGCAGCTGGCCCTAGATGGGCCAGATGACCTCTGAGCAGAGTGCTTCCTTGAGGCGCCACCTCTAGAGCAGGCCGGATCTCCTTCACTCTTTCTCCCCCGCCTTTGAGCTCGTCGTTTGAGTCTTCGTCCCGTCGTCCCCGCCCTTCTCCTCCTCCTCGGCCTCCTCCTC